GAGGTCTCCTCAGCATCTCTGGGGAGTCGGTTCCCAGAGGCCGAGATGCCCCCCAAAAGACCTCTGCACGGTGAGCAGGAGTTGCTATAACTGCTAGGAGAGGGTTTTAGGGTTTAGGGTTTAGGGTTTAGGTTTAGGGTTTAGGGTTTAGTTTCGGGGGGTCTGGCATACTCGAATCATGACGAGGAAGCCTAAGGAACAAACAGCCCTTCTGTAATATTAAGGAAGCCCGCCAGGAATGGAGAGCTAAATATAAGGAGCCCTAAAGGAGTAGTTACAGTAGAAGCCCAAAAGTTGGAAACCCAAAAGCCTCAACCCTTAACAGTAATGTATAGGGAAACCCAGCACGAATTGTCCTCAATCCGGTTTCCAACACTTTGGGGTTTACTATATACGTATATATATATATATATACATACATATATATATATATGTATATATATATATTTATATATTTATAATATATATATATATATATATATATGGGGCCCCATTGAGAAAACTACCCATTAGGAGCCTTAAATGAGTAATTCGTAAGATTCGGCGGCAGGTGTGCGGAGCTGGCCTCTCCAAAGGACAGGCGAGGCAGAAAGTCCCAAAAGGTTTGGAAGGATTTTTTTTGGGATTTTAGGGATTTGGGGATTTTTGGGATTTTAGGGTTTGGGGATTTTAGGGGGTGGGGATTTTAGGGTTTGGGGATTTTAGGGGTCTGGGGACTTTAGGGTTTGGGGTTTTTAGGGTTTGGGGATTTTAGGGTTTGGGGTTTTGCTGTTTTCTTCCGGAACTGGCAAACTCGCCAAGCAACCCGGGGCTATGATGAGATCTTGTGAGACTATGACGCTTCTGCCCTCATGGGAAGGCCTCCTTGCTGGGAGCTGGTCCAGCACGCCTGCGGCATTGTCCCGTCTGACTTCGAGAGGGGTCTCCTGGGTCAGAGGCAAGGTTGTGCCGCGCTCAGCGGCCAAGCGCACTCTTCACGGGCTAATCGCACTTGTTCTTGCCTCCTCTGTGTGTGCAAGTTGTGCTCTCTTTCCAATCGCATGTTGGCTTGCATCGACCTAGAGAGGCAAAATAATCGCCGTGATACAGAACGAGACCTGGGACTCGGGGAGAGCACAAGCACAAGAATCAGGCTTTCTCGGCAGTTGCACCTTCCAGAAGAGTGTTGGGCAGACGCCTCTGGAGCATGAGACTCTATAAACCTCCAGATCGGCTTATATCAATCAACTAGATAGGCGAAGGAGTGGTGTTGCATCCAGTTGAGCACGCTTGTCAACGACGCATTGGCTGAGGTGGGCTGACGTGGCATGCGGCCTATGGCCGAACTTCTCGGACGCGCAAGACTCGGCCCATTTTGAGCATGATCTCGTCCTCAGAGTTGTGGGGGTGTCCCCCGCATCTGGTGCAGAATAGGCTCGGCGGGGCCTTGGGTGAGTTTTCGACGCCCCTCAGTGATGCCGGGCGCCCAAGCTTGCGAGTTGAACCGATTTCCTTGAGCTCTGGGACACAGGGTTACGAGTGCAGGCGAGTCTTTGCGACGATTCGAGGTGCTGCGGACGTTTGCACGAACTGACGGTAGAATTCTGAAACACCCTGGCCCTGGCTTGGCGAGGCTAGGAGGACTGAGAAGCTGGACAGAGGAACAGCAGCAGTCCTCACTGGCGTGGTTTCGCAGAAATGTCCAGGCTCGCCGTCTTCAGATCACTGCTTCGTAGATGCCACTGGGTATGCTGTGAGAGCCAACACACATCTGAGATCTACGTCTTAGAGATGCCCGGCTTGGTGCAGCAGCCCCAGGAAGTATTGGTGCTGTGTCATAAGAGATGTCCTTTCTGTTGCCATGCCGTTCAAGGCTCAACAATGGCCGTGAGACTCTCGCCAGTGCCACACTCAGCAGCAAGCACTCACTTTTGGGGTTTACAGAGTTGTCTGGTCTTCACCAAATTTTTGGCCCTCCCCATCAGTCTGTTGTCCATCCATCGTGCGAGTGAGAGATGGTACGCAGCCTTGAATAGACAGTAGAAATCTGTCACCTAGCGAAGACTTGCGAAGAAAGGGGTCACCACGATGCAAGATGGAAGTTTCCAGGTTTCTGTGTTCAGACGGAAGGCAAGAGGACTCTGTTTCTGCGCTGTCAGGTCTTGGCTCGCAGGCTTTGCAAGGCACCCCTGTTGCAGGCCTGAGCACTAAAGCCCTAAAGGAAAGACAGTGGAATGAGAGCAGCTCTGTGCAGGCTATGACTTGAACTTGGAGCTAGATTTGCAGGCTGGAGCACAGCTCCCACTCTCTCTGTCTTCCTCTTTGCTATTCTTGGGACCGCAGAGGCGGCTGTGATGGAGGGATCCTTGCCGTCGGGCTTCGACATCAGCCACTTCAAGGACCAGGCGCAGTCCGCGACCGGGAGCAGTCGAGAGCCTTTTGATTCGACAGCAAGGTGGGCGCGCTGAGTCTTGCTGCGAGCTGCGACCTCAGGTGATTAGCATCGAGCCGTTTCTCACAGTCAGGTCACATCATCCATTCAAGATGCTGGGACGCGTGAAACCTCATCACATCCTTCGAAGTCGTGTCGTGCCCATGGTCAAACATTTGAGCAATCGGGAAAGTAACTCGGCGGTCAAGCGAGGTCGAGCTGTCACCTTGCCTGCCCAGGAGTATCAAGACTCAAGAGTATATGAGATCCATAAGTCACACCTTGCCTGCACAAGAGTATCAAGACTCAAGAGTATATGAGATCGATGAAGCCACCTTCGTTAGATCAGGATATACGTAAAAACTATCGCAGCAAGGCAAGGCAATGCGGAAGATCGAGCCAGTTTCATGTTGAACCAATACAGCCTCTAGAGCAAAAGCAGTCTCGAATCGAGCGTTCAATTCCTGCATTGCATTCCCGGCAGCCACGCTTTGCTCCGTATCGCATGAGTCTTCGTGGTGTGGGGTTTCCTTGTAAAGGCAGCGGCATCCGCGAAGAGCGCACTGTAAGCAACGATCTCCTGCAGTGTGCTGCCTTGAGGCCATTTCCACGTCCAGAATTTGGCCCGGCGATCTGGAACGCCAAAGCCAATAATCTTGGTCCTGGAGGACGAGCTTCTTTGCACCACAACTTGGCATGAACTGATGCCGTCGAAAGGATGGAGCCATGTTGGCAGAAGACTTTCGCCACAAAGTGTGGTCGCTGATCCAGGAGGAGTCGGGATCATGGAGCTCTCTCATTGAAGTTGCGGGAAGCGTTGCTTCATTTCAGGTTGGCGTGAGCAATCGCATGGTGTGTCGGACAGTGTACCTCGGTCGCTAGACATGTTGTGCCCAGTGCCAAGACAATGTTTTGGCACATGTACAGCTCTCAGACGCAGAACGACGCAAAGGCAGGGGACTGCGGAGGACCGCACAAGGTCTGCCGCAAGACGTCGGCTGCCAAAAGAAACATCAAGACTGCTTGACTCCACCAGTGCGCAGATGTCTGGACATCCCGGCCGCATCTGGTGGCCATTGTCGCGGGTCGCAGTCGCGCGCGATCTTGTGAAGCTTCAGCCTGCTTCTCTGCATGTCCGTGACTCTTTCTCAGCATTTCTCAGCTATTTTTTTCTATATCGCCCCTAGCTCCCTGACTGTCCCCCTGTCTCCGTCTCGGCCGGCCACTTTCTCTCTCTCTCTCGCTCTCTCTCTCTCTCTCTGGCTCTCTCTCTCTTTGAACTTCCGGCAGGTGTGATTGCTGCAAGGAGTCTACTAGTAGCATGAATGTCACTGTATGTCCCCTGCTTTTTCTGTGGCAGCCCTGGCAGGAGACCCCGTGCGACTGGAACGTCCTATCCTTGTCGTCCAGCTGCCCCACGGGACGTTGTACATCGCCGCACCTGGCACGCATCGGCGCGGACCTCAGAGATCCTCAGAGAGCGAGCCACGATGGGGCCCTGGGGCTGCTGTAGGCCCCAATCTCGAGATCTCCAGCTCGGAGCCGCTCGGTCGCTTTGTTTTTTTTTTTTTTTGCAACATAAAACCTGCGTCGAGCTGCGCGCGGGGGGACGGCGAGGCGATGTCGAGACGTCACAAGCCGAGGATTTAGAGGCGGTGGGTCCATCTGGCCGATGGTCGTAAGACACAGCGAGGTTCCAATGCTCCTGCTGATCAGGCATGCTGTATCGCACCGGGACGATCGCCGATTTTCAGAACCGATGGATGCAAGCAGCATTCTCAGCACATGAGCCAACATGGATGCTGTTGCAGATGCCTGATGCGAGGTGGCCTTTGACTTCGCTCATCCAGACTGCCCGACGCTTTAAAGACGCAAGACGTGCATTGATGCATATGGGGGTTTCCGAAAATAGGGGACCCTAATATAGCACCCTAAATAGTAGGATTCCTATTATAAGGACCCCAAAATAAGGTACCCTAATTTTCGGAAACTCCCATATCTGAAAGCCAACAGTCCCGAAGGTCTGAGTCTCGATGCCTCGCTCGCGGCAATCTCAGACGAGGCCGGACGGGTCTCGGCCAGTACGTTCTCCATGTGGGAGTTTCCGAAAATAGGGGGTACCTTATTTTGGGGTCCTTATAGTAAGGATCCTACTATTTAGGGTGCTATATTGGGGTCCCCTATTTTCGGAAACCCCCATGTCTGTGGCAACTGCAGGTTGTCTTTTACGCAGTTCCAGCGGTGCCGGCCTGAAAGACGCCGCGTTTGCGGGTCCCCGTGCACCGTGAACTGTGCTGACAGGTCCAGTCTCCTGGGATTCTGAAAAGTTGCTAGATGTCTCTAGTAGGTTAGCAGCTTAGCATGTAGGAGCAGCCAGCATTGTTCCGGAATTCGAAGCTCACGTTTCGTGGCAGATCTGAGGTGAAGACTGGCCTTTGCTGTCCAAAGACAATGCATGTGTGTAGTCTGCGGCAGAACACTGTGCCCTTCGACTTTCATGAATGTTTAAGAAGTGCTTGACTTGTTTCAGCGGGGCGAGCAGAAATCTTGCCCTCGTGCTGGTTTGGACAAACTTGCTTGCCCTGGTCAGCTTTTCGACAGCAAGTCCAAAATCACAGAGAAGGCGCCTGCAAGTGTAAAGCTTGACAAAAACTCAAGTCACTTGCATGCCAAGCCGAGAGGTGGACATCTGGTCCATGGGCTGCATCTTCACGGAGATCAATGGTGGACCATTACCGTGCGCTAGCACCTGCCGTTCTCTTTGCTCTGAAAACTGAAGTGCCGCCCTTGTACAATCTCGGTACTGTACGACCGCTTTCATGCGCAAGGTTTCTTCGTGGTTCCTTGCTATCTGCAGTTGGACAAGTAAAGTACTCCGGCAGCTGCCGCATTCAAAATCCATTCGTGAAGCTTTCGCCTGACTGGGCGGTCTTGGAGGCAAGGGTGATCCCAGATGATTGGACGCTGCAGACCCACATAAGACAACTCCTAATAAGCGAAGAGATGGCTGATCTTGAGACAAGATCAGTCGAAGTGCATGCAAGCATTGTCGCAGTTTGCAAGCAACGTCGCAGGGGCAAGTACTGTTCAATAGTACGCTTCAAGAGACGACTGTGCAGTGAAGTACCTGCGACGGCCGCGTTCTTCACACTGGCGAGCACCCCAAGCGTGAGCCGTCGTGTGAGATAACCCGGGCCAAGACCACAAGACCACACGCCATCTTCGTTGAAGCCGCATGCAACAAGCAAGGCTTCTGCTTCCCAGGCGCAGCTTTGCAATGCATCGTCGCACTGCTTCCAAATGCGGCCAACCTTCTCGCCGCTTCGTCTCTGAGCTCCCTTCCGAAACCGATGCTATTCCGCAAAGCTCCCGACAAACTTCTGCTTGCATTCCCGATTGCAGGTACGAGGGTATCAACACTCTCGCAGAGCTCACAAGAGCGATGCTGGTAAACAGGAGGAGAGTCCTTGGCCTCAGCTAGATGAGAGTGAAGTGGTGACGTTCGTGCAGCGGAGGACCCCGGTGATTCCTCCCACGATCCCGCCAGTGCTTCAGGCTTCTGGTCTCCTTTCTGGCACTAGTAGCCTGGCGTGAGTTGCTTCCTTCAGGCAGTCATCTCCGGCTGCTATCAATTTGACGGACGCTTCCGCCCTTCAGCACGGCAGGTCGAGCCCCGAGGCTCCAGCCATGTCCAGCTTCAGAGATCTTGGCGCCTCTGAGGTTTACGACCAGCTCCGTGAGGCCAAAAAGAAGCTGAAAGCGGAAGGCATCCTTGACAAGGAGGTGCAGCAAGACTAGGACTAGGACCGGCCTTTTCACACCTTGCCCAGCAACTGAGTGGGTTGCGGCTCCGCCTCGGAGGCTTCCCGATCCAGCTTAGAGTTTCAGACGCAACATATAGGACTCTATGCTCAGCCTATAGCAGTCTGTGCCAGTCTTGCTATCCCTTGAGTCCTTCCCGTGTTGCGCGGCAAAAGTGGCTAGTTGCAGAATTCGTTTTAATGCCAGCTTTACACTGGGGCTGAAGCTGTTCAAAAAAGGCATTCAATCCGACTCTGCCGCATGCCGACCATTTCTCAGAGGCCTCCACTGGTCCCTTTCCGTCGGCTCGAGATCGCCAAAAAAATCCAAAGAAACACGCCTCCCTTTCCCTACCGAAGACTTATTGGCTCGGACACAGTGTTGTGCTTCTGGGACCCTGTAGCCTTTGTGTTTTTTCCCGGTAGGGGTTGGTCGTTACGTTGTTTCGGGAGTTCTAACTCTACAGCAGTCAACCCCCCCATCGCAGCCCGAAGCCATCAGCCCGAGCAGGCTAGGAACCCAAGGATTTGGTTGCTTGATTTTGCTGTGAGCTCCCAAGTGTTTAGATTTTTGAGGTTCGAGCCTACTTTCAACATCGTTGTAGGGCTTGACTTCTCTAAACCGCTGCAGGAGTAGCAAGCAAGCCCTGCTAAAAGCTCTCTAACTCTGGGCCTGCGATGTTGCAGCTGCTACTTGCGACGAAAACTCGGCAGGAGCTGTTGCAGGACACCACTGGGGACTGCCTGTTGACATCTTGCCACAGTGTGATTTCCGGAGTCAGGGCGATGCACATGGAGCTGCTCTCAATCGCTCGCTCACCACATGGGACTTGCTGGCTGCATCCTCGGCCGGGGAATTTGTGTTACGAGTCGCTGAGGGACATATCGCATCGAATCGTTGCTGAGGCCATCGGTGTGGGCTCAACGGTGGGCACAGGGGTGTTCTCCATTACAAGCCAAGTAGCCGCGCAGCAGGTGGGAGTTGGGGACAGTTGTGCCACAAGTCCGGATCTGACTACGGAGCCCTTCGCAGGCCGGTCCTGCTGTCCTGCTCTGTTGGTGCGCCGGCGGTGCTGGCTGCATGCTTTCCGCGAGTCTTGTTTGCATTCATGCCATTTCATGCCCCCAGCGAGTGTCGGCTTGGGGCTATGAAATCCTCTTGGGAGCAGGGCCCTTTGCGCAGCGAGGCTCGCCTACATGGAACTCTCGGCAAGGCTGCCTGTGGCTGGATCTGTGTATGCGTTTGCATACCATGCTCTGGGAGAGGCGCACGCTGGTGCCGGCTAGTGTTCATACCATAATTTGACAGTCCGGATTCGGCATGTTTCGTTGCACAGCGATGCACAGGTCTTTGCCGTGGTCGCTGCGGGCTGCATTACTCTGGAGTATGGGTGCCTCTGCCACAGCAGCCTTTTTGCGTGTTTCTTTCTTGTTTCTCAGAGCATTGGTGCGGATCGATGCCTGTGTGGAGAAGGGTCTCAAGGGATCAGGGCAGGGCAGAGACAGTCAGGAACATCCGCGGCGTTGTTTCTGTCGTCCCAAATCAGTCCTCTAACAGTGTCGGGAGTCTACAGAGACAAACCGACCGAAGTGCTGAAGGTCTTGCTAGTTGCTTTCCATGCGGAGGATCTCTGCTTCCGCCGTGGCCGCAAACTGGGGTGACAAGTTCAGGCCAGCTCTCCACGGCAGATCGCAGAAGTACTTGTAGCGCCCCTGCTCCCCTCGAGCAGGACTCTGGTGGCCTCGCTCGGAGCACCATCGTTTGCCAATGCCTCAAAGCGAGCGGACACCTCATGGAGCTGAAGTATCGGTGCATCGGCAGACTGAGCCGCAAGGCTTCCCATCTTACCACGAAGTTGCCTGGCCGAAGTGACATCCATACTTAGCCCCCCATGAAAGTGTTCACCTTCGGTTGGACCCGGGGATTGAGCCGGTCTGTCACGATTCTTCGATTCATTGCAGAAGCCAGTTCAGAATGGTCTTGTCAAGCATGACTTCGATGACTTTCCGTGCATGTGTGCGAGAAACCAGTACTCCGCCCGCTTGTTGCTTGTGCTGTGTTCCTTTCTAGACTCGTTATCGACTGTCAATGTACAGCGTCCCAAGCTGCCCAGTTCAAGCGTCGTGTGATACTGGTCTTCTGTCTACAGGGTGCAGACAGATGCTGCTAGACGTTGGGCCCAGCACCCTCATCCTCTGTGGCACCCTTGTGAGTGGAAGACGTCGAAAAGTCCGAAACCTTCCTGCAAACCAGGATTGGCCCAGTGACACTGTCATTTCCAGCGCTGGTAGCTGCTCGACGCGATGATGGGTCCTATTCCACGACCCCTTGCCATTCCTCACCATGATTTCACTGATAGAAACCCAGGTTCTCTTGCTGGTCACCGCATTGGTCTATGTTGGAGGAGATCTGGGAAAGCGTTTCGCACGAGGCATCGAAAGCGAGCCCACTTGGCTCATGTTTTCCAGCTTCCTTCTGTCAGTTTCCTCGGCCTTGGCGGTGATCCTAATCCTCCTGATGGTCCGGTACCCGGGAGTCAAAAAAGCGGCCACAGCAAGAGCTCCCCGAGCTTTCAACGCAGTTGATTTCGGAAATGCTGAGCAATTTGTCAGAGATGGCTCCTCGCGGCAGCACAGCTCTACGGCATGTTCAGCCTTGCATCAGCCTTGCAGCATCTTCAGAGCCGCTAGGAGCTTTGTTGCAAGCCTTATCTCCAAAGAACGGGTGTAAACTCTGTGCTGGTGACGCACACCAACTATAGCCAGCAGAGGCTTTCCAGTTCGAAGAGAGAGGGCCGGGTTTTTCTGTCATGCTTCGTCACTCCCACGATCTCCCACCCCCACTGCCGGTCAGACGGCAGAGCGGCCCTGGCCGTGGCTTGGCGGGGGGATTGGCCCCCCGGGGTCCAAAGTGGAGACCATGGAAGTTGCGAAGCCGGTTATAGTGCCCGCGTTGCCGGCTCTGTTGCCTAGCCCCAAGGCAGGGCTTCTGGCGGTTTACCATGCAGTTGAATGCTTATTTGGTGCACACTTTAGGCCCAAGCATCGTCTGCTTTCAGTGGGCCGACCACGCCCCCGCACCAATCATACTTCGCAATGCTCAGCGTTCGGCTGCCAATCGGATTGCCCACGGCATCTGCGCCTTTGCCCAGCAAACTTGTGCATGGAGAAGCACGCGCGCAGGGCCGTGGAAAGATGTCTCTTGCAGCCGGTGGTGTAAGTCTCCTCGGTTTCTGCAAGGCGACCATGCAGAAGAAGCGTAACGCAGCTGCTGGTGCACGCGTGGTTTGCTATGCCAGTGATGAGCCCCCTTCCATGGCTCAGACTGCGATGCGGGGCCCCTTGACTGCAACAGGCTCGGGCAAACCGCTAACGGCCGAAGAGCTCGAGGCTTGCCGTGAGGAGCTTGAGGAGATCAAAGCGAAGTATGGTCTTCTGGAGCCGGAGCGCGCCCACATGGATGAAGAAGGCATCAAGTGGCGCTATGGAGGAAAGCCTGATGACTCTCTGACAAACCTCTTCTATCTGAAGGGGAAAACCAAGAACCACGCCGAAGGATCCCTTGAGTTGATTGTGGAGAACCTAGTGAAGACATGGGAGATGGAACGCTCTCACAAGACCGATCCTGATCAGCATCGTTCCGTTGATCCGAAGAAGTTTCACATCTCGGCCAATGGCTGGAAGAAGTTCGACAACAAATGTCTTGCAGGCTGGTTGCCCTGCGGCACTCTATGACGCTGAGAACATCACTTGGGAGCAGTCGCATGACAAGTTCCACGATGCCTTCGCCGCCTTCCCCTGGGAAGTTCTTGAGGTCTTCTCCGGGCCACCCCGTGTGGCCTTCACTTGGCGCCACTGGGGAGAATTCACCGGGACCTACGACGGCAACAAAGGATCCGGTGAGTTGGTGGAGATGTTTAGATTCGGAGTGGCCACTGTGGATGATCAGCTTCGCCTGGTGGACGTGGACATCTTCTACAAGCCCGAGGTCTTCTTGGAGGTCCTGCGCGGCAGCAAGACGCCGGAGGAGCTAAAGGGAGCACAAGACCTCGTGGGAGCCGGCTCCGTAGAGGGATGCCCTCACCTTGCCACGCTCAAGGCCAAGGACCCCTGAGGAGCTTCTGAATAGAGCCCTGAAATGGGACCCTTCTGGGCCCTCTGTGGCGAGATACCAATGTGGACACGCTAATTGTCCGCATAGCTTTTGTTTTGAAGAGGGCGACGCTTGGCATAACTGCCATACAATGTTACTGACTGTTGCTGGACACTGTACTATAGTCTATAGTCATCTATGTCAAAAAAATAAGTCAATGTGCGCAAACACTGCATGATAGTCCGGCAATCTCTTGGCCCCCTCCGATCTGTTCGTTTCGAGTCACTGGATGATTTCATTTGTGGAGCTGCCTGACAGAAAAGCTCGTCAACCAGTGCATGTCGTCACCATGTCAATCAATGTGGGAGTTTCCGAAAATAGGGGACCCTAATATAGTACCCTAAATAATAGGATCCTCAATATAAGGACCCCAGAATAAGGTACCCCAATTTTCGGAAACCCCCATGTGAACTGTTGAGCCGCATCACTGAGTGAGTCACGATTCTCCGATGCTTGCGGAGCAATTGCTTCTTCCTGTGCTCTTAAGAGCGGCCATACTCGTCAAGACTCGTCACAAAGACTCTTTCTGCCAGTTCCAAACGGTCAAAATGATTCTGAGGTTGCAGCTGCCATGACGAAGTTTCAGGCCGTTCTCCGCGTCCCAGATGTATTGCCTGTCCTGGCCGATTACTCGGCATTCAGCCACAGTCAGGCTGAGCATTTCGATCCCTTCGTGCCGCCGGAATTTGGGCCTGCAGGCGCGATGGGACTCTGCTTCAGCTTTGTGTGGTGCACTTGCAACTTTCTGCCGAGCGTGGTATGAGCCATCCTGGATCACCCACGAAACGCTTGTAGAGTCTTGTAGAGTCACGGACTTGCGGCCTGTCCGATGTCGGTGCAGGCGTGATGTCGGGATGCGTGACCACCTTCTTCGGTTTCCTGGGCTACGACGAAGTCTGTTGCATGGCCGGAGAGGCCCAGCGCATTTAAGATTGAAAAAGAAATCATTACATGGACTAAAGGATATTACAGGGAAAGTACTATCATTATCGATACGATGAATTCGAAAACTGCTGCACTACTGCAGCTGCTGCTGCTCCTACTGTCTTACTGTCCTACTGTCCTAATCTCCTAGTGTCCTACTACTATTGCTACTAGTCCTACTACTGCTATTACGACGACTACGACTACGACTACGACTACGACTACCTACTACTACTCCTCCTGCTGCTGCTACGACTGCTACCACTACAAAGGCTACTCCTATACGAAGACGACTACAACCTCTACAACTGCAACTACAACTGGAACAGCTGCTACTACTGCTGCTGCTTTTGCTGCTACAACTAGTGCTGCTAATCATATAACTGAGAATAAGCAGCAAGTGCAACACAACACAGCCTGAACAAGTACAAATTTACCTGACTGACTAGCTAGCTCACTATCTCACTGACAAGCAAACAGACTAGCTAAAAAGATAGCTAGCTAGCTGACTAGCTAGCTAACTAACTAACTAACTAACTAACTACCTAACTAACTAACTAACTAGCTAGCTAACTAAGTAACAAACAAACAAACAAACTAACAAAATACCTAGTTCAATTCCTTTCGATGAAATAGCTTTTTAAACAGCTAGCTAGCTGTCCAAATACCTAGCAAACCAAATTGCATAAATAGATACATTGAATATGTAACCAAAGTCCCAAGCTCACCAAGCTTAATAGCACGAGCTATGGGGATACGAGCGCAAAGGTAACAGTCATGCTGTGTCTATCATTCCAGGGCTTATGAGGACTTGGGGGTTTCCGAAAAAAATAGGGGACCCTAATCTAGTACCCTAAATAGTAGGATCCTTATTAAAGGACCCCTCAAAATAAGGTACCCCTAATTTTCGATAAAAACTCCCAGTTTTTTGTTTTTGTTCTTGGAGGCTCTGGAGCCTCAGAAGTCGGTTCCTCGCGCTGTGCTCGGGACCGTGTTCATTGCGACGCTGCTGCCGGCCTTGGGATCCGTGGCTTTGGTGGGCCAGGGCCTTAAGGGTCTTCGGGGTTTAGGGTTCAAGGGCTTAATTTAAATTTAGGCTTTAAGGTTTAGGGTTCAAGGGTTTAGGGTTTAGGATTTATAGGGTTTAGGATTTAGGCTTTAAGGTTTAGGGTTTAGGGTTTAGGGTTTAGGGTTCAAGGGTTTTGGATTTTGGGTAGCTCTCTGAATTAGGGTCCCTATTTAGGTCCCCAATATAGTACGGCACCCCTATAGAAAGGACCCCAAAAGGGACCCCAGTTTAGAGAACTACGCATTTAGGGTTTAGGGAAGCCACATGGCAAAGTTGAGGGTTTTGTGACCTAGCGGTTTAGGAAAGCGCAGGGTTTTGTGATTTTGGGTTTGGGGCTTGGGTTGCGTAGCAGCGTAGCAAGTAGGTCGTAAGTAACATGGGGCTTACAGGTCTTGTGATCTTAGGGTTTCAGCAGTTTCCGTTTTCAGCCTCTAGGATTGAGGATGATGCTTTGAGGTCTGGAACGATTTTGCAGGCCCTAGACTTCGAACTTCTGCTCCTAGAGTTCCAGGTTTGGGCTTAACTGTTTAGGGTTTAGGAGCCTGCGTTAAGTTTCTAGCAACACTGAAGACGAGACGTGGCAACACAAACCTGAGGTCTCCGGGACAGTTCTAGAGGTGTATCACATATGTACGAGGCGTCACTAAAATCCTTAAGCAATCACATCTGTACATTGTCTTCCAGCCGAGTCATGCAACCAATTGAGCATCAACCGTCTTGCTTCAGACTCGAATTGGCCTTGCCATCGCAAGGCTTCTTGCCATACAGCGACATCGATGCCAACTCGGGCTTCGAAGTGGCTTTCCGTCAGAGGCGGCAGATGACGCCTAGGGCAAACAGCCGTGCAAGTATCAAAGATGCTGGAGCGATGGGAACACTGAGGGTCGATGGTGTCTGACCGGCAAACCAAAGAAAACATGCTGAAATATGCAGGCTTGTTCAAAGCTGCCTTCAGTATCTAAGCCAGTCGTGACTGCCTTCTCACATGGCAGGGGGTGGACGTTTCTCTCCCACATGGTGAGCATTGGAGAGCTAATCGTCCTTTTCGTCGTCACATATATGTCCGGAACCTGGTTGGGTTGGGGTGTCTGGCTGCTATTGCTGCTGCGTTGTTTTGGGACCGAATCGCCATTGGTCTTGCTTGCAGGTGCTTCTTAGCGCAGCCGCGGGTTTTCTATGCCTTGTCAATGCATGACCTTCTTCCGAGAAGGCTGTGATACAGTATCGGGCACTGTGGAGAGTTCGTCAGTTGAGCCTGTCAGACAGCAGGTTTCGGGATCTGGACGAGCACGGCACCCCCTGGTTTGCAACACTCTGGTGCTTCGCTCAGGGAGTTCAATCCGTCCGGAACTATGGCAGAACGCCTTTGGTGGGGAGGACCGGCTTGCTCCTCATAGCCTGTGGGGCGCTGCTTCCCTTTAGCACCTTGGCCAATGCCATCTCCGGCGGCGTTTGCGCTGCGACCTCGGCTCATTGCCCCCTGACGTACTGTAGGAGCTTCTTTTTCTTCTCAAGCGTGAGATGCGCCACGGGGCGTAAGTCCGACCAGGTGGCTTTCAACCTGGTGAACTGCTCCCTCATCGTTTTGAGAAGAGGAGGGCAGGTCGCAGTCCGTCATCTGGGGGTGAGGGCCCTGGAGCTGGCAAGCAAGGAAGCGCCTCTTTCATCTGGACTGCCCAGTTTGAATCAAGAGGAGCCAAACTGGGCTCTCTCAATAGGTGCAAAGAACAACGCGGCCAGGAATTCCTTGCGTCGATACGGGGGTTTCCGAAAATAGGGGACCCTAATATAGTACCCCAAATAATAGGATCCTTATTATAAGGGCCCCAAAATAAGGTACCCCTAATTTTCGGAAACTCCCATACTGTCCTGGGTGTCTTTCGAGGTTGCTCTGGTTGCCTTCAACTTGTTCTCTTTCCTTGCAGCCGTGCTGCTGCAGCGATGCCCTCGGAGAAGCAGCAATGCAAGGTCAACAAGGTTTAGGGTTTAGGGTTTAGGTTGGTCAAGGGAACCAAGCACATGCCAGGCGTGGTGGGGAAGGACTGCTGGCATGGTCTCGCATGGCTTCGCTCGCCTGTTCCATTCTGACCTTGCTAGCCCTGGTCGCGGCCCAAGGAAGCGGAACCTTAGAGAGCTGGGGGTTTCCGAAAATAGGGGACCCTAATATAGTACCCTAAATAATAGGATCCCTATTATAAGGACCCCAAAATAAGGTACCCTGTATTTTCTGAAACTCCCAGCTGTCTAAGAGAGAAAGCCCTAGGGGCCCTAAACGTTCTTGGAGGTCCTACTTGCCCGGCAGTTGGGGGCCAGTCAGGAGCATCTTGACGCCTGATGCGTTGTGATTTAAACTGTGAGTGTCTGAACTTGGTACCCTCAAAGGGAACCTTATTATAGAACCCTATAGCACCCTTTAGGAACCCTATTATAGAACCCTTTTTAGTGCCTTTAGGAACCCTACTTCAAGTGTTCATGCTAGGATGGAGGCCAGGGTGAAGAGGCTGGGAGCATCCGTTGAGTCCAGTTGGATTTCCTTCGAGCTCGTCTTGTTCCAGGCTTTCTACCGGGTCCCATACGTACCCTGGATTCCATGCTGCGCGCCTTGCTCCGCAAGAAGCCTCCGCAACGGCACTATACCTGGCTCCACCCGATGCCGTTTTCAAGATAAAATTCCCACAGTTCGGGTCGACGTCTTGAGTTTGGTGGGGGCTTGGGGCTTCTGTCTTGCTTGCAACCTTCCACGTTTGAGGCGCTCGAGCTTAAAGAGTTGCGGCTGAGGCAATGGTTTTCAACAACGTCATGTTGTCTTCGCTGAAGGCAGTGGCAGCTGTGTGTTTCACGACTCGCTTTGGCAATGCAACACAACCAGATACATAGAGGGCTTCCCTAGACTCCCAGACCGCTCTTTGGGTTAGGCTGCCGGGCGGAAGCTAGTCCACCAGTTCAAACGAAGTTTAAGGTTGCAAAGCAAAGCTCCAGAAGCGACTCAACAGCCTTGCAGGAGCATGTCACAACCTCCTCTGTGTGGTTTCGTTCCGAGATACTTGCGAACGAACCGCATCTCTAGCCACTACGCACCTGCCTCCAATGTTGACTCAGATCCCTGAGATCTTGCCGGTGAGTTATATCCCGTCGGTTGCAGGCACAGGACTTTTTGCTGCTGGCAGTGTACTTGCTGCTAGTGGCACCGCACTAAGCAAGCGAGCTTTGGGGCACCAGACATCACATGGGTAGTTCTCTAAATCAGGGTCCCTTTTTAGGTCCTCAATATAGTACGGCACCCTTATAAAAAGGACCCCAAAAGGGATCCTAATTTAGAAAAGTACCCCCATCTGTAGTTTCCTTAAACCCTCAACCCTAAACCCTAAACTCCCCACCTGTAGT